GATACTTGTCCCTCTGAGTCTTGGCCTTGCCACCGGCGCGCTCAAAGTCCTACTTTCTGTACGGTAGTACATAAAGGGAACAACTCTCAGTGTCGTCCTGCCAATCGAGTACCGTTGCGCTCCCATTCACATGACCGCACTAGTTATCAATTTGATACCAGCTGAGAAGGATGGATTCCCCCAAGAGGGCTACGACATGCAGAGGCTGAACCGGCTCTGTCTCTCGCGATGGCTTCGCGAAGCCCATCTTCGGATCTATTGCCCTAACCCTTTACGACCAGGAGTGCAGCGGCGTCCCGGCTCGGATAGTCACCGATAGCCCCAGCAATACAGAAGTAGGGGTCCTGAGTTTTTTTCGGTTGATGCCAATTTTTTTATTCCTCACTTTGTCCCGAACCGTAGAGTTCGGGAGATGATTAACATAGCAGAGACCGCGGCTTCGGAACACGGTCTTTCTCTACGTGTACAAGTTGCGATACTGAAGGTATCGACGTCCCGGAATTCGATGTTACACACCGCGATGGCTTCACAAAGCACGCGTGGGACAGTGGGCGCTCTTCCAACAGTCGCTTTTCGAGGATGATGGTGGCTTGGGACAAGTACGAAGGAAAGGTACATCTATTGTCGCCTGTGGTGGCACGGGTGAAACGACTCACGTGTGCTGGAATAGAGGTCTCTTCAAGAGCCTGCAAGACAGTTGGACGTAGCTAAAACGCAAGAGGAGAGAGGATTAGAGCGTCTGGTTGCCCCTGAAAGAAGACCAACCAAGGGGGATGAGTAAAGATTGCTGATGCCAGTTGGGCCGCGAAAGAGGCGGAACGTAGGCCGCGCCGAACTCTGCAGGAAGCCGGACCCAAAGGATTACGGATACAAAATCATCCCGCTGGTGAAGATGATTGATTATGTGCAAGGGGTAATCGGGCAAGGAGGCGGGCTACATATTATACATACCTAGCTTAGTATGCTGCAAGTGTTTTCGTTGTTCCCACTATTCCAGAGTTCCCTGAAAGCTTCCCGGTCGTCAAGATGTTTAGTCCAAGAGTAATCAACGCTGAGAGGTCCGCGGCCAACCCGATCGATTTGACGAAAAGATCATCAAGCCCAAAGTCTCGTAATTAATTGATATAAGTGGCCAAGATATCCCGGTGAGGGTGCACATTGTCGCATTACCAGCCAGCGATGCTACCACATTGAATCGGCCTGAGCAGAGACAAAAGTGAATCTACATACATGAGTGTATAACCTCGCAGGAAACGCACATCTGGGTTGCCCAGGAGCCTCAAACCTCGCCAAATGTGGGCAAAAATACCCCAAAAAAAATTAAAAAAAATATTGGCTCAACTGGGTTTTGAAGGGAAGGAAGGATTGTACTTACTTCACTTGGCACACCAACATGTCACCGACACCTAGGCACAAGTCACGTCAGTGGGATACCTCACAGGAACCAGCACAGCAAGATCACCCGAGCATCACCTGTTGCAAGTACATGGAACACGCCGAGACGCACACACATTCTGTAAACAGGTTAGCAAAGATTCAAAGCAAAGCCAATACCAGTTGAGCCGTGGGGGGTTTGTTGAAAACAGCGGGCCCCGAACAAAATTATAGAGCGTTATGCCGGAGGGCCGGCGGACCCGGAGCCCAAGCGGATCATGATGTATGCGGAGGTTCCGCTTTGTCCGGAGGCGCATCAGAGTCACCCAAACCCTCCTCTTCCTCCCCTTCGCAGAGAACGTACCTACAACATCAAGTCGGCAAATGTGTTCCCACTTTGTGATCGTTTGCCAGAGCCCGAAGTAGACGACGAGAATGCCTGATGAACTCCAAAGTCTACTCCTTTCAGAAACTAGCACCAGAAAATTCACGCTCGTGATGCTTTTGAGCTTAGAAAAAGGAGTCGCATTATCCCTAGGTGCTTGGTTTCTAGGCATGTCATCTTTGAAGAATCCAGGGGCACTTCACTACCAGCTGCATCTAAAGTCATCAATCATTGCTTTCACCCACGTTCCATCTCACAATACCTGGGATATGACCGAGTTCAGGCCAGACTAAGACTGGAGGACCGGATAGTTGAAGAGAGAAGACAAAAAATCTATTAGCATTGGATATTGTGACGGGTACTTGATTGAGATGCTTGATTGAGACGGAATGTCTCTGGTCTCGATCGTCAAGGCAGCTCTACTGGAGCCTATGATGAGGTCAAAATAGTCGTAACTTTGAAGGATTGATGGCACGACACCCGGTTTGGCCACAACCCACAATACGTAACCCCTAATGCTAACGTACCATTGGGTCTCCAGCACCACCAACGCGAAAGGGCAATCGTGTTCCATCGCGCCAACCGTGCCAACCGTGCCGCCGCACGATATTACCGGATCCCCCTAAACGTCTGGCAATACCCCCTTGTTGGTGCGTCAACTGCCAGCGGCGGGGCACACCAGCATGTTGTTCGGCTACTTCATCCACCCCCAGCTCCACCAATCTTCAGAAAGGAGCGACGGCTGCCTATCAGCCTGCCTAAAACCCCCATTAATTCCGGGATCGCGCCAGCCAATCGCTCCACATGCATCGCGGTTTGCTCCAAATGTATCGCGCATCAAGATTCATAAAGCCGACGTCCATCCTCTGGAAATCCGTCCGGGCGCCGCCTTTCTCCAAAGCAAATCGAGAGTCTGAGATTCAAGTCGACCGAGGCCACTGATAGATAATACAATGTGGAGGAACCCGTTCGGGCAGGATGGCCGCCCGCTGGGCATGACCGACGCGCTGGGCCGGCAAGTACGGGATGATCAAATTGTCGTCAGTGAGTCGCTTCAGTCCATCCAAATCTCGACACGGTCAGTCTGTTGACAGACCAAAAGAGGAGTCGCCCATGCCCGCAAACATGGGAGTCCAATTCTTGCAATTCATCGAGCGGAAGAGCCTCCCCAACGGCGAGCAAACCACGCTGCCAACCCTGACAAAGGAGGAAATCGCCCTGCTCGGCAAGCCGTACAACCAATGGGCCCCGGCGCCCTTCAACGCCAACCCGATCCGCAGCGAGACGTGCATGATCCGGTTCGTCCTGGCGACGTCCGGCGTAGACGGGCTATACGACCCGGCCCGCCTCTTCAGCGGCACGGCCTTCCAGGATTTCAGCTACATCGCCCACGACCTGGAGTTTTCCAAGAACCGCCTCTGGAACGGGCTCGTGCCGCTCTCGGACCGCCGCTGGCGGCAAAAGCGGCTTGATGAGCCCGAGAACCTCGAAAAGGCCATCGAGTACCTGGAAAAAGCTGGTGAATTTATGTACTTCAACCTGTCCCGGACGGTCCGGAAGATGCGCACTGCTTACAATACGGCCTATGGGGTCCTCGAGCACTTCGACACCGTGCTCGAGGCGCACTACCGCGCCACCAACCAGCAGCCGGAGCGCCGGGCCAAGGCGGCGCACCTGTGGACCGAGTTCTACTTCAGCCGCACCACCTTCGTTTCGGCACGCGTGCATGCATGGTATCTGAAGCGGGCCGACGTGCTCCTCGAAAACCTCATGGGGCAGATGCGCGCGGTGCCTCTAGACCCCGGCGGTCGTGTGTGGAATCTCCCGCAAAAGGAGTTGCTGGATAAGTACCGGGCGCTGCTGGATTATGTGAACAAGGCTGACTACACGATCCTGTTCCCGTTGGTTGGGTACAAGAACGAACTCGCGCACTGGCGTCATCTGAGCAACCCGCCAATCGTCAACTGGGCAGCCTACAACGGTAGCCAGCCCCTGAAAACATATCCCCCAGAGCTTGAGCAGCGGACCGGTGTCCAACTCCAGCGAATGCAGTGGCACCTCCGCCAAGCAATTTTCCGGGACTCGATAACTCGTGCGGTTGGTACGACAGCTCCCGCACCCAGATCTTTTGGCGCTGATGGACTGCTCCATATCTGCCATACTCACAGGCAGGCATGTGTCGACACTCAAAAGGAGCTTCGGGGTGAGCTGCTGGCCGTAGAATTTCATGAAGAGCTCTGGATCGCGTCATTGAAGCAGTGGTTGGAGCCACTAGAAGAACCCAACAACGGGGTATTGGTATCGGAGCTCAGATGGGGCTTTGTCGGCTACCGTTTACACTATGAGCATTCCGATGAAGAGTGGGCGCTGTTCCAAGAGTCCTTCAAGAACGAGCTAGCTGGCTGGGACGAGGGGGTTGCTGGTGCGGATGCGGTCAAGTCCAAGTTGGCGATCAAATGGATCGACGGTCGAGAGCTCGGGATACTTGAGGGTGATGTTGAGGCCGCAAGGGGGTAAGTCAAACTTGGAAGTCCTGTACAGTGAATGCACATCAGAAACTGACCCAGGGCGGTATTTATAGGCACTTTGCAACCGGCAGGCAGACAGACTCGGACACCTTCCGAGGCTTCCTCACTCCCCCGGCTTTCCTTGTTGCTGATAAAGCCAGCATCGACTCATACCTCAAGAGGCCAGAGCTTCCTGGCCAGAACCTCATTGACGATGCGGACCTGGGAAGCTGGATTACTGTAGCCGATTTCGAATTCGACGCTGCACGAGCCGCCAGAGACAGGGAGTCGCCCGGGTTCAACGGGAGCATGAGGGTGCTGGAGTCTGTTCTGATTGACGATGTCTGGGCTGGCCTATGGTACGGCGGCAATCAACTGAAGACATCCTGGCCAATCGCCAGAGACCACCCTTCTCAGCTGTACGTCGGACCGACTACGGCGTATCAGGTCGAAAACTGGAACAAGTTTGGCGGTGTTATAGGAGCGACAATGAGCAAGGCCCAGGCGTGGGAACGGCAGGGCAGATTCTCTTCGTCGGTGTAGATGGGTCCCGGAGGCAGAGAGCACAATTTAGGTGATCCATAGACGGTGTCATTAGCGATAATCATCGAGCTCGTCATCGTGATGGCTCTCACGGTTCTGGTTGGGTGAAAACATGCGCGACTCGTGCCCCTGTTTCCCCCTCGTCCGTTGGCTCCCATCGTCTAGTATCAGGGTAGCAAAAAGATATTAGACGATTGAGCTGGGATTCGAACCCAGAGCCTTTACCAGGTGGGAGTTGATGGCTATCAATACCGGAAAGTAACGCGCTACCATTACGCCACCCGACCAGAAGCTGGTTGTCCTACTCTGAATGGGAGTTGACGACTCAGGATGAACCTAGCAGGGCCGCTAGCGCTGCTGAATGCTAGCAACACTTGTATGAAACGTCAAGTCACTTCATTTCGGAGTGGCGGTGAGGTATGTCCGCAGCAGATGGCTGCGTGCTGCGCAGAGTAATCTCCCCGGCCGGGCTTCAAGACGTCACGCGTAGGTAACCTTGACGGTCTTGAAAGTAACATGAGAGCTCATGCGGTATGGCTGCTCAGCTGGGTTCTCAAACTTGAATAGGCGCGTCTCACTCTGTTCCGTAATAAGTTAATTGACCTTTCGATGACAGCGGGCTGGCGGGCTGGGGTGGAGCAGACATCCCGGTTCCATTTCTTTGGTTGGGGACGAGAGCGCCTGCGGAAAAATACTGTTGATGGTGGGGAAAAAAAGAAGTGAAGAGCCGAAAGAGAAAAAAAAAAAAAAAGGCAAAAGAAAAAAATTCAGATGCAGCAGCATCTGTCTGTAATCGAGATCTAAAGTCAGAGCAATTGACGCAGCTGTTATTGGTTGTTAATGGAATTCATGGACTCGATGCTGCGCGCACGGACTACCGAATGATTGGCACATATTGACACATTGGCAAGCGCCGCCCCGCCAGGAGTAGAGAAAGCCCGTGCGTAGGGCGTGGTTGCCTCGGCGATGAAATGCCAAAACAGCTCCAGCCAAACACGACATTTGCAAGCTGGGACCAGCACCGGACTTTGCTCTTCGAGATTCGGCCACCTTAATATCCTGCAATTCCACGCCAGCGGTGCCCAATTGCGGCGTCCTTTCTTTTCCTTACGCTAATTGCGTCCCTCTTTCTCCCCTCATACTCGTCAACGCAAGTTGACTTTTGACCATGTCTGTCCGAGTCGTCGCTCGGATACGTCCGCTTCTTGAAAAAGAGTTGGACCGGGACGCCATTGTTCGCGCCGACCGTGTCGACGACGGCAAGCCACTGACCATCGTCAAGATCCCCAGTCCCAAGAACGAAGCCGAGGAGTTCTCCTTCACCTTTAACAGTGTCTACGAGCAGACCACCTCCCAGGAGGAACTGTTCTCCGCAGAAGGCAAGCCCCCTCCCCGGCCGCAACTGATCTGATGCACCGCGGACGACGCTCCGACGAGATCCCGTACTAATCCTCGACCAGTGGCACCCCACGTGAAAGCACTCTTTCAAGGCCTCGATGTGACAATCTTCGCCTATGGCGTCACGGGAACCGGCAAGACACACACGATGCGAGGCGGTATGAAGCTGGCAGAGCGCGGCGTGATCCCCAGGCTGCTCAGCAATGTCTTCCGTAGAGGGAAGAAGATCGCAAAGGACTCGGACGGTGAGACAACGGTCCAGGTGGCCCTCTCATACTACGAAATCTACAACGACAAGGTTTTCGATTTGCTCGAGTCGCCCGACAAGCGCACACCGTCGGGTCTACCTCTTCGAGAGAAGGATGGCAAGACCATTGTCGTCGGTCTGTCCGAGCGCTCCTGCGAGGACCTCAAGGACTTTGAGAAGCTGTACATCGAGTCCAATAATAACCGCATGACGGCCGCAACAAAGCTCAACGCCCACAGCAGCAGGAGTCACGCCATCTTGCGGGTCAAGGTTACCCAAACAACTGGGGACATGGTGAAGGAGAGTACCGCATCCGCCATTGACTTGGCCGGATCCGAAGACAATCGGAGGACGGAGAACGGAAAGGAGAGGCTTATCGAGTCGGCCGCCATCAACAAGAGTCTGTTTGTGCTCAGTCAGTGCATCGACGCCATAGCGCGCGGCGACAAGCGCATTCCTTACCGGGAGTCGAAGATGACACGCATCCTGTCGTTGGGGCAGAATAACGGCATCACTATCATGATCCTTAACCTCGCACCCATGCGCAGCTACCACCTCGACACCCTCAGCAGTCTCAATGTCAGCTCTCGCGCAAAGCGCATCGAGGTGCGCGAGATCGAGAACGAAGTTGTTTTCAAGCAGGCGCCGCGAGCCACCGCCGGATTGGGAGGCCCGAACGTCCGGCGCCAGCCTCTGCGACCCCTTGCCAATGCGCACAACGTCCACACCGGCGCGCTCGCAGCCAAGGCAGCAGATGCCAAAGTCGCTGACAAGCCCATCAAGGCCTTTAGCGTGTACACCGATAAAGCGAGCAAGCCAACGGCCTCGTCACGCGCCACCGTCTCAGCAGCCAACACGGCGCAGCTCCGCCGATCGGATTCCCATAAGAGGCAATCCGATCCGTCCGAGAGTTTGTCGACGCGGCCAACAAAGCTGGCGCGACCCACGCATACAACTCTCGCGCGTCCCGCGGCACCCGCCCCGCAGCAGCTGTCCATTTCGGCCGCCGAGATTGAAGCCCTGGTCGAGAAGAAGGTTGCAGAGATTCTCGCTTCCCGCGCTGCCGAGGCGGCACCAGTGCCGGTGCCGGCACCTGCGGCGGCCAAAGAAGACAGCGCTCCGCTCCAGAACCAAATTAGTGACGAGGTGCAGCGTAGACTGGAAGCCTTGGAGCGGCGCATTGAGAATGACGGGCAAGATGGCCGATCGGAGGGGCTGCGGATTCTGCTCCAGGCGCGGCAGGCCAAGGAGCGCGGTGATGACGAGGGCGCGTTGCGCTACTATGAGTTGGCGCTGCCCTTCTTCCCTGGGCAAGTCAAGTTGATGGGCAAGATTGAGCGATTGAAGGCGAAGTTGGGTAAGACTGACCGCAAGAAGGAGCGTTTTCTCCAGGTCAGAGACGGCCGGGAAGACAAGGAAAATGTCCATGAAAGTGTCTATGGTGCCTTTGATGGTGCTGGGATAGATATCAACGATCCGAGGTGGTTCCCGGTGAAGCTACTCCAGAAGAAGGCACCATCTAGCAAGACTAGAAAGGTGCACGTGGACATGGAAGAGGGTCCCACTACGCCGCGCACGAAGAAGCTGTTGAACGTTGTCAACTCGCGTGACCTGTCACTCATCCGCAGCCTGCATGGCTTCGGTGCGAAGAAGGCCCAGGACCTGGTCGACCATCTGAACCTTGGGGGGGACGAGGAGTCGGGGCGGGTGGCCAGTCTGGCGCAGCTGAAGATGCTGCCGGGCGTGGGAAGCCGGACGGTAGAGAGGGCGTATGAAGGGTTGGTGTAAATATCGGACGGCTTTGGAGTTGGACGGACTCGGGGTTTTTATGTTTTTGCCCGACATGGCCTTTGGCTTTCAGGGGGCTCTGCATGTTGCATTGCATGGCGTTTTTGGGGAAGGGATTGGACGAGGGCGTTTTGGAGTGTGGGGTTTGGGGTGAGTCGGGAACGGGGTTGTTGGTTTTGTTTATTTGTGATAGCGTACTACCTACTGCTTGTTGGGAATAATTGACTCCTGGCCTTGAGCCGGTGTGTTGACATGTTCAATTGGCTTGCATTGCTTTACTCGAGTGCTACAATGGATTATCTTGTGCCGTGTCACCGCAACCCCGCAGCTGTGGTTCCTTCAGACGGACCTTACAGGAAGAAGCAGCGTGCAGGGGCATGTGAGCAGGCTCGGCGGGATCCCACATCAGCGCGGCTCATGGCGTCGCTAAAGCCCTCCATTGCATCATTGGACTGCCCCACAGCTGTCTCCAAAACCCGAGCTCACCAAGCTTCCAAGCTTCCAAGCTTCGTCGTCGCATCAATTTCGCGCGATAACCGATCCAGTCGAGTAGCAACAGATTTCCGGCGGCAACTACACCTCGGCAGACACACAACAGCAGCAATGGGCCTGATATGAGGCTGTAGTACCCATCTCTCCCTCCTCCCCGCCCGTTCGACTCGCCAAATCGAACGCATAACCCCTCATCCGAGCTCTTCCGGAATCCAATCACAAATCCGCGTCAATTGCGCGCGACCGATCCCACCCGGTCACTGTCGAGGGGACAATGCCTCTCAGTTCCCCGAAGCAATGGCGCCCTCATCAAGAATCATGATGGCAGCAAAACTGCCCCGGGTCCCGCGGGCATCCACCCTCCTCGCCCGCGGGCCCTACGCCCGCTGCCGCCCCGTCCGGGCCCCCCGACTTTTCGAGCCCCTCCGCCTGACCCCCTCTCCGCTGCGAGCCCTCTTCTCGACGAGTCCCCTCGGCCTCTACGGCCGGCCCGACGCAAAGATCGAGCATCCGACCCCCCTGCCCAGGGCCACCGGCGCCCGGGCGGCGCCCCCGGTCGATCCCCTCGCGGCCATGGACAAGACGGCGCAGGAGCAGCGCAAGGCCGACTGGGCCATCATGAAGGAGATGTCGCGGTACCTATGGCCCAAGGACAGCTACGGCGACAAGCTGCGGGTGCTGCTGTCGGTGGGCCTGCTGGTTGGCGCCAAGGTGCTCAACGTGCAGGTACCCTTTTACTTTCGCGAGATTGTCGACTCGCTCAACATTGACTTCTCGACCACGGGCGGCACCGTGGCCACGGCCGCGGGCGCCATGATCCTGGCCTACGGCGCCGCGAGGATCGGGTCCACGCTGTCGCAGGAGCTGCGGAACGCCGTCTTCTCGTCCGTCGCGCAGAAGGCCATCCGCCGCGTTGCGCGCAAGACGTTTGGGCATTTGCTCAATCTGGATCTCAGCTTCCACCTGTCAAAGCAGACGGGCGGGCTGACGCGCGCGATTGACCGCGGCACCAAGGGTATCAGCTTTCTGCTGACGAGCATGGTGTTTCATATTGTGCCGACGGCGCTGGAGATTACCATGGTCTGCGGTATCTTGACGTGGAGTTTCGGATGGGAGTTTGCCGCGATCACGGCGACGACCATGGCGGCGTACACTGCCTTTACCATCTGGACGACGGCCTGGCGGACAAAGTTCCGCCGGCAAGCCAACGGAGCGGATAACCGTGCGTCGACCGTTGCCGTCGACTCGCTAATCAACTACGAAGCGGTCAAGTACTTCAACAACGAGAAATACGAGATTGGTCGCTACGACAAGGCGCTGCAGCAGTACGAGAAAAGCTCTATCAAGGTGGCAACGTCGCTG